CAGCCTTATTCGAGTGTGTACAAACCCGATCTTACTTGTTTAGATATTCTTGCCGCTGATATTTTGGTTGTCAATCAATCACTATCACTTCATCAACATCTAAAGGCAAACAACAGCTAATCCAGACCCCAAAAAACAGTCTCAGGACTTGCTGGCCGGCTGGCCGGCAGTGGCCAGTGGTGGGTGGGGGTTGATTGTGGGCTATGTTTGTGGGATGGATTTGGGGTTGGATCTCTGCATATATCATTGTTCGCAAATCACTGGTAAACCAACAGGTAAGATGGCTGATAAGTGATTCAGTTTGTCACAGGCGTCCCTCGAGAAGTTCTTTTAAACCTTTTTCAAGGTTTTAAATTGAGGTATTGCGTCCAGCAAACAAGGTTATGTAAATACAATGCAACCGACCGTTCAGGACAGTCCACCGGCTAATCCGCAATTGTTTTAAAAAAGTATTCTAAAGAAATAAATAAATTGAAAATGCGACAAGTACAATAAGCAAGGTAGAATATCGTGGCCACTAGACCCTTTTTTGTGCAGAAACAAGTGAAACTTACAGCCAAAGGATTGTCCTGTTGAAACTACGAATGGTTTGAAGATTCCAGCCCTGAAAACACTGACTTCTCGAATACGTACATCTGCACACAGACGGACAAAATACGTTTTCTGAAAAAAAAAATAAAAAAACGTTCGCCTGTCTGATTATAAAATACGTGTAAAAAAGCTTTAATGGAATAGGTTATAACAGGAAACTTCCTCAGAGGCTGTTCATGGAATAGTTATTAGATTGTTGCCGCTGACACGGTCCTCTTAGTAGACCGTAAATCGTCACGGTGTTAACTCTGTGTCCCATTGTGTGAAGCGTCTTGAAGCAACTTGAGTTAACTTCGAGTAATAGTGGAAAAGCTGTATTTAGCTGTCTGGAACAACGTCTAGAACATTGTCTAGACAATGTCGAAAGGAAACCGGTTTTGGTCTCTATTTTAAGTCATCTGTGTAAATGGTTTGTGTATTAATCAGACCTAAAAAATGCATTTAATACCACCAAACACGACTTCGCTTGGAATCCTTCAAATAAATCCAAATGACAATCATAAACCAACATTTGCACAACCTCTACTTATAGGCACAATTCAGATGACGTCACGTAGCCAGCGATGAAAATATCATGCCGTTAACTCAATTTCACTTTCACGTATAGATGTGACACATCTTATTCTACAAGGACTGAACTCAATCAGTTCTCTTGTTATGAAACCTTAAAAGTGCCATTTTAAGATGATGTCATGTGCCCTTCGATAAGGGTATCGATTACGTCTTCTCAATTCCTTAACACAAACGTAGTCATATGCCAATATTATTCCAATCAAAGTCGTAGTTCTGTGACGAAGAAACCTTAAAATGTGGACCTTTAAGGTGACACTGGGTGCCAAATGATGACGTCATCAATACTTCTCAGTTTCAACCAAAGACCTAACGAAAAAAGTGAGACTGACATTTACTCAATCACTTGCCACTAATAAAAAGATGAGGGATCTCACTATTGGTTTTCCAGAGATAAAAGATCTCATTTTAATTGACTTGCTCGTAATTTTGACACCTGTGGCATCAGTAACCCCAGTAGCATTTAGATACAATGTCGGTGGTCATGCACATTCGGTTCGTTTGCCATACATGGACATGCTCATGCACTGCAGATTACACGCAAGGTACGTTAACTTTAAGTTCCAGTGGTTTTCATATGAAGCAAACTATGGGACAGACGTCAAGGAGGACATGCTAAGTGACAATAGGCTGGAGTGTGTATGGGGATTGGACTTGTTAGGGGGGGTACCCCTCTGTCCCATTTCGTGCCTGGTATAGTGGTTCTGGTTCTCTTTTGTGCAGTAATTTCCTTTGCGCAGTAGGCGTGGTTTAAACTAAGGTGACGCAAAACCGGATATTTCTTTGGTTGCCACGGATACTTTTGGCCATACAGCAAAATAGTGAGAGCCATGCAACTAGCTCTCAGACAATTAAGATGCACAATATCTGGGTAAGGCGTTACACACGAAACTGTTTACCACAATCGTGTTCGTCTTTTCCGCTGAGGCAATCCTTGAACCCGTTGCATCTAGCGTATGGAGTCACACAAGACCCGTCTTCGCAGTCAAACAACCCTCCGTCAAATACCTCACATGACAATTGACCTGTGAAACAAAATTATAATATTCTTAGAGCAATATAGATTTTCCCCTTACCTTTGAAAACTTGTTTTGTTCAAATTCATAAGGAGTAATTTAAATGTTTGTGTGGAGAAGTCTGAAACATTCGTCTCACCTAATGATCATCGATAGTCAGATTTGAGACCATTATTTTGCTCCTTGATGTTGTTGCCATCGCTGATAATATACTTCTTGCATACATATTTGTTTCAACAGGACAGAGTTTCATTTTGAATGTATTATAAGTTAAAAGTGCACGCACTCCGTTTTCAGAGATCTTTCAATTTAGGGGTCTATTGGTCAACGTTTTTAAGAACGATTTCCATTCAACTGGACACTAAATAGAAATAAAGGCAAGATGCAAATTCCTTTAATTTATTTCTTTTTGGGGGTCAGTTTCGTATTTTATTCATTTTCATTTAAGTGATTTTTATGGTGCATTTTTTGCCCTTTTAATTTAACGATAACAATATAAACACTGATTATTTCCATCTTTTGGTAAGGTCACCAGGTAACTGTTCTCAATAATTTACGGGACATGAGTTCTCTTGCCTCTGTCGGTTAGTTTTGCTATTAACACAGAGCCTATTATTTGAGCAGTGTTGTATCTGGGAGCTCAATTTTTCAAAGACGAAGGTTTAAATCTCGTCTCCCCAATAGAAATATCACATTTGTATTTTATAAAAGTCAAAATGAAAAGAGAGGGGATTGGTTTAACAAAACGTGGAGGAATCATTTACACGAAACGTGAAGAAAACAGGTTAAAATGATAAAAACCAAATACATGAGACAAATCGTTTCCTCGTTGTTGCTGCATCGATTAGTATCAACTTTATTTATCAACTGTAACAGGACACAGACCAAGAAGAAATTGATGTAGAAAATACTTACTAACTCCAACAGCCCAGCTTTGAAGCGAGAATCGAAACCCGATAGATTCGACAATTGAGTCAGATCTCATTGACACATTCACCTCAGATGAGTTGAAAATTATGCCCCGAACCTTCGTTGCGCCGTCCAGTAATAACGGACCAGGAACATCTTCATAAAAAGTTCGACTTTCAAATTTTACAAAGTCATACCACCTCTGCGTTCCAAATTCCAGAATTTCAATAGATATTGCGCTAGACAAAGATGAATTTGCCTGAATTTGCCACTGGCAGTCAAGGTTTGGTGGGTATTTGTATGGGTATCCTGGAGACACAAACTGGCCTCTGTCGACGTTTATGATCCTCTCACCACATACATCTATGAACAGATCAGATAATAATGAAACGACTTACACAGATTGCTTGAAGATTTTCTGTTANGTTTCCTGTTTCCAGACCAAGTCGGACCCAGACCAACTCCGACCCAACGACGGCAATCTCTGACCCATTTTTAATAATGTCATTTTGAGCTCACGTTGAGTGTTGCTTAAACCTATACATGCGTATTCCCGTTAAACTTGTAACTTGGCCATAATAGCATTTTCAAAACCTACAAATAATCCCCTATTTGGCAAAACAGTGAGCTGTAAGTATTTGCTTCAAGTCCCGCTTCTATATGTTTAACGCACATAGAATAAAAACGAAGGGCAAACAAAACAATCTAACTTTTGAATGTGATTTCATGCACTTTACCGTGTACTTGCCAAATGTTACAGTTTTCAGTTACTGTTTGCACTGTTGTAGGTTTACCTTCCATATCTATCCCAATTCAAGAATAAAAACAAAATCGATTTTAATTAATAAAAAGTCTCATTTCTGAGACTATTATGTAATCCTCATTCACCCCACCTATTTTGAGCCTGTGCGAACACCTTCGATGTGGTAGCCATCCAGAGACCACACCAATCCTCAGAAACCTGGCATTCCAGGGAAGCCTTATTCGAGTGTGTACAAACCCGATCTTTCTTGTTTAGATATTCTTGCCGCTGATATTTTGGTTGTCAATCAATCACTATCACTTCATAAACATCTAAAGGCAAACAACAGCTAATCCAGACCCAAAAGGCAGTCTCAGGACTTGCTGGCTGGCCGGCAGTGTTCAGTGGTGCGTGGGTGTTGATTGTGGGCTACGTTTGTGGGATGGATTTTGGGGTTGGATCTCTGCATATATCATTGTTCGCAAATCACTGGTAAACCAACAGGTAAAATGCCTGATAAGTGATTCAGTTTGTCAAGGCGTCCCACGAGAACTTCTTTTAAACTTTTTCAAGGTATTAAATTGAGGTATTGCGTCCAGTAAACAACGTTAGGTAAGTACAATGCAACGGACTGTTCATGACAGTCCACCGGCTAATCCACAATTGTTTTTAAAAAAGTATTCTAAAGAAATAATTAAATGGAAAATGCGACAAGTACAATAAGCAAGGTAGAATTTCGTGGCCACTAGACCTTTTTTGTGCAGAAACAAGTGAAACTTACAGCCAACAGATTGTCTTGTTTAAACTACGAATGGTTTGAAGATTCCAGCCCTGAAAACACTGACTTCTCGAATACGTACATCTGCACACAGACGGACAAAGTACGCTTTCTGAAAAAAAAAACAAAAATAAAAAAAAA